GCTGTGTCTGGCCCGGCAGAAAATTCCACTTCAGCATGTTCCTGAGCCCGGACTTCTTTGCCAGTGCGATGTTTTAGTGCTGAGCGCTTGAATACTTCCGAGTAAGAGTCGTGGCGCCACTGTTTCGCATTTCTTTGTGCCGCAGGAACATCTTCGTCTATATCTGCATTGGGTGCTGGACCTCTTTGAATCTTATGGCACCCTTTTACAATTCTCTCTCTTTGTGCCGCTGATGCCAAACGGTTTCCAGAGCAGCCTAAAAACGACGCTGGATGTGGTCCAGCACAGTTGACACACTTAGGTTGACGCTTCGAGGTGCATTCTTTGTAATCATGTGCGCCCGCACATACCTTGCATCTCTTGGTTCCCCTGCAAGTCTTAGCCTTATGCCCATATCTCTGGCAGTTGTAGCATCTTACCGCCGGCTCAATGTATTCCTCGACAGTGTGAACCGTAAAGCCGAGAGCAACTCTTTTTGGCAATGGCATGTCATGTGTAAACTGAAGTATTACATTACGTATGGGCTGCATTGTGGCACTTCCATCTTCATTTCTTACCCATCTCTTTTGTCGTGTGACTGAGATTACTCCAGCATATTTAGGATATTCCTGTAGGTCATAATCACTGTATTCGAGTGGAACGTCTCTTATCTTTGCTAGGGTCTTCATATAAGACAGAGGTATCATCACATGTACAGGCAATCCAGCCAGACTCTTGATCAGCAGCAACTTGTTTGCCGAGTACAAAGACCGTTTTCTAACACAAAAATTTCCGTCTCTGTTGATTCTTGATGATGTCACTTTCTCATTGATAGCAGAGATTATCTCAGATGCTTAGAGAGATTATCTCAGAAGAAACATTTATTGAAAACTAATCCACTTAAAACAAAAGCCATCGTATTCCGAGCTAAAAACAAAATATTTTCATCAACACAAGCGTTAGCTTACGCAGGTGAAGACATTCGTTTTGTGGATGAACATAAAATTCTTGGCGTCACGTTTTCATCAAACCTCAGCTGGAACCAACACGTCGTTGACATCTGCAAAAAAGCCTCTAGTGTAGTTGGTGTGCTAGCTCGTTGTAAATATATCTTACCCGCAAAGATGAAACTGCAATTATACCAAGCTCTTTTTCTTTCGCACATAAACTACTGCAGTTTGGTGTGGGCAACCACGACAAACACGAACATAATGAAACTTCAGACCACGCAGAAAAAAATATTAGACATGTCGCTAATTTAGATTATTTGTCATCAACAACACTTGTGTGTCGGGACTACGGTATTATTAAAGTGGAATATATGTATATCTTTCGCATTCTGCGATCCTACTATTTCTCTTTCATTTCGTTTAAACAATTCATTAAAAATACCGCATGTCTAACTGCAAAAAATGTTTTATTAGAAACAAGAAGCAGTGATATTTGGTTTGTTCCGAGGTTTCGCAATAATTACAAATCTAAAACACTGCAACACAATTTACCAATGATTCTCAATAAATACAGTCGTGTAAACAGTTTCTCATTAAAAGAACTACGATCCTTTTTTGCAAATATAGGCTAACTTTTTCACGTTGTAAATTGTGCTGTCTGTACGATAGTACAATTTCATTTCTCTTTCAGTGTGTGCATCCATGCTGTACCGAATAGGTTATATGATATGTCTGTCTGTATAATTTTGTTTGTCTGACATGTGATGTACATTGTATGATGCAGCACATACACGAGCAGCGAATATGTATACATCTTCCCTGATATTTTCATCATTTATTTATTTTTATTATTTTATTTTTAGCAATATTGGTGTTAATGTTGCTGGATTTTTCTTTTGCTTTCTTTCTTTGTTTTTTTTCTTTTTGCTCGCGTCCATGTAATCTTCTGTGCTATGCTGGTATCAGGATGTATCGTAAGAATGTATATATATATGTTTTTATTACACCGTATTTGGTATTGTTATGTTAGCTTATGGTCTTTATTGATACACACATCTTTGTTATTGTCCCACCTTCCTTGTATAGGGTTCACTGGCCTCGTCAAGCTGTCCATAAACAGCTTTTAGCCAGTGAACCTCTCCAGAACCTATTTCTTTCTGGGAAATAAAAGATTTGATTTCATTTTGATTTGATTTTGCCATACGATTTGGATTCACCTTCCAGAAGGAGTCCTCGGCAGCGATTGGTCTGAACACCACCGGTATCCCCGTAGCTCGGTTCTTGTGATGGCGATCTTCTTTTCTTGCATCGTTACACTCTCTTATTGATATCGTTTGTGTAAGGAAATAATTACGGTCATTTTTTGAGTTTATTACTTTTCAATCTTCATGCTTTATTATGCTTATGCTTTATTATGCTTATGCTTATTGTACTTTATGCTTTATGCTTGCTCAAATTTTTGTACATTGTCACTGCAATAAAAGTGTTGCCTATGCTGCCCATTTGTAAGGGGTCGTGGTCTCAGTCAAGCCCATTAGAGGCTTTTTGACCACGGCCCTCAGCATCCCGAATGTTGAAATAAATAAATAAAGTGACCACCGTGTAAGCTCCCTTGTCTTCCTTTGATGCTTCTGTATCCATCTGTGTCATGTCGTTAAGGGAGTACGTTGATGTAGCGTCATCGTTGTCAACCTCTTCTTCCTCCTCTGTACGCCTCTTACACTGCGAGGCCTCGCTGTTCTCTGTATGGGACGTCGATATTGTTGCTGAGCCTGCAGCAACTTCAAGTCGAGCTGGATGGATGAGTGGTGCTCCACTTGGCGCTAGCGGCATCTCGTTCTCCCCCATACCCGGGCTTTGCCAGGTATGAGGCAAGGGCCCGCTAAGGGGCAATTCTGATCGTGATCCGTAGTGAAACTCCGACTCACCGATGTTTAGGCGCCACTCTGGAGACAGTCCACCCACCGCACACACTGTAAAAAGATCCCGAACTATATATAATAAATGAATTAAGACAGCGAAATGAAGCTATGGGCTTCTTCCATTCACTTCTTCTTTCTCCTCCATTTACCCGTTTTACGCGTCCGTCTATACATCCGTCCTCCTGCGAGTCTGTCTGTCCGTCCATCCGTGCGTCCATCTAGTGAACACTCTAAGTACCGCCATCTCACATACAGTGTGGCATATGCCCACTTTACGAGACCGTCTATCCGTATGTCCATCTGCTACGCTGTCTGTCCGTCCGTCCATGCGTCTGTCCGTGCGTCTATCTGGTGAACACTCCAAGTACCACCATCTCGCATCTCACATACCCCGTGGCACTTACCCGCTTTACGCGTTCATCTATCGGTCCGTCTGTGTCTGCTAGTCTGTCTGTCCGAATGTCCATTCATCCATCCATGCGTCGATCTAGTGAACACTCCAAGTACCGCCATCTCGCATACTCGTAGGCACATACCTGTTTTACGCGTCCCTTTATCCGTCCGTCCCTCTCTAGTCCGTAAATGTCCCATCTCGCATACCCTGTGGCACATAACCGCTTCACGCGTCCGTCTATCCATCCATCCGTCTGCTATTTTGTCTGTCCATCCGTCAGTGCATCTATCTATTGAACACTCCAAGGAACGCCATCTCGCGTACCCTGTGGCACATACCCGCTTTACGCGTCTGTCTATCTGTACGTCCATCTGCTACTCTGTCCATCCGACCATGCGTCCGTCCATGCAGCCATCCAGTGAGCACCCCAAGTACCATCATCTCGCATACCCTGTACACATACCCCCTTTACGCGTCCGTTTTTCCGTCTATCCGTCTTCTGGTCTGTCTGACCGTCCATGTGTCCATCTAGTGAACACTCCTCGTACCGCCATCTCACATCTTGCATCCGCTGTGGCACACACCCACTTTACGCGTCCGTCTATCCATCCGTCCGTCTGCTAGTCTGTCTGTCCCTGCGTACTTGCATCCGTCCGTGCATCCATATAGTGAACACTCCAAGTATCGCCATCTTGCATACCCTGTGGTACATACTCGTTTTACGCATTCGTCTATGCGTCCATCTGTTTCTGGTCTGTCTGGCCGTCTGTACGTGCGTCCATCTAGTGAACACTCTAAGTACCGCCGTCTCGCATTCGCATACCCCGTCGCACATACCCGCTTTACGCGTCCGTCTATCCATTCGTCCATCTGCTAGTCTGTCTATCCGTCGTCCATGCCTCAGTCCGTGCGTCCATCTAGTGAACACTCCAAGTACCGCCACCGAGCACACCCTGTGGGACATACACTTTTTACGCGTCCGTCTCTCCACCCATCCATCTTCTAGCCTTTCTGTTCGTCCGTCCGTGCATCTTTCTAGAGAGAGAGAAAAAAAAATATGAGGGAAAGGCATGGAGGTTAACCAGAAAATGGAGCACCCGGTTGCGCATTTGTAATCTGCAGTAGGTTCAACGCATGGCAACCGCAGCGGCGCGCTATTGGTCACACTCTCGCAGGGACGCCGCCACGACGTGTGCCTAGCAACGGCCGCCGCACCTCATGACGAAATACTCTCGTTCTCGGAGTGCGCCCCTGTAGGAATCCCTAATGGCCGTTCCTTTCAGCGCAGATGGGAAGAAAAGGCTTGCGCTGTTTTGTTCAATGCCCGTGGTATTTTCGTCTCCGCCTGTGCACCGTGGACCTCCTCGCGTTGACTGAGAAAGAGGCGCTTGGCGTGGCGTTGGACTAATTTGTGGTCTAGTGTGCATTTTTCGTGCGCGTGAATTTTTTTTTTTAATTCAGTGAACATTTGTGTTGACGCCTGCGCCTTTTTTGCGGCCTTGGCCCTTCAGCAAGAAGTGATCTGCCGTTGCGCCCTACTGTGCGATTTTTTTTACAGTGAACACGCTTGGCTTTTAAGTATATTTGGTGCCGCCAGTGTCTTGAGCCCTCGCCTTGTCGCTCGACGCGATCGCCTTTGTGTTGAACTACTCGCCTCCACCCCCCCCCCTTTTTTTTTAACTTAGCGGCGCGGATTGCTTTGGTGACCACGTGTTTCAAGACGTGATCGCCGCGATCGCAGTGTGTTGCGCGGCTATGGCTAGTGAAAGCAGCGCATGTGAAACATCGGCGCACAGCGCGATCGAATGCGTCAAAGACAATGAGAGCTCATCACCTGACGTCGACGTGCTTCGAGCAAACATCACCGATGAACGTCACGCCTGCAGCTGGGTAGAAGACTACGGCTTGAAGACGAATACGTCATGGGTTGTAGACTTCGTCAAGCCAACAGCAAAGTGTGAAAGGTAATGCAAAAAATGATGTTATAACTTCAAAAATAACTTACGTCGTCTCTGGTGATAAAACTTCATGTTTTGCGGATAATGTCCAACGATGCGCCGTCTCAATGGTTGTAGACAACGTGGATATGATCGGTACGAGAGGGCTAGACTCCGCTCATTCAGTGACATTTCTCAAATATATAGAAATAACGAAACGCGCATTCCCACCGCCTAGCCGCAAACTGGACACCCTTCAGGTGATTCACCGGAGTTGCCTTCAAACCAAAACTTAATGCACTTACAAGTGTCCTCGCATGGGGGGCAGAATAGAGTGCATTTTTCTTTTTCTAAGTTCTGGGACTGTGAAATAGTTGAGAAAAAAGTTGTATTACCCCCCCCCCCCGCACCCCCCAGATGAACTACAGGCACAGTAGAGACTGCAGTGACTAGCTTAGGTCCCCAATACCAACTTTTAACTTTGTGCCGATTCCAGGAAGCTATTATGAGAGTGTCTCTCGACTCCCCCCCAGTTTGGCTAATACAAAAGCAATTCATTAGCAAAATATTTAGTAAAATTGTCTCACTCACCAATTACAGTGCCAGAAAACTAATTGATTGAATCCTCTTTTCTTGGAATTGTGAGAGCATCAAATGTTTACCATAAAGTTCCAGCTTGCACAAATAAGAGCTGATGGTCACAATAAATTCAAATACAGAGTTTGTGCAGGCTTTACAAGTGTGATCTCTTGTTCAAATTTCAAGTGTTGTGGCAAGCCTCTAAGATGTGTCCACGGTAGCTAGTAGCTTTGCAGCAGGATTGGCATTTTTCGTGATTTATTTATCCTAACGATGACAATGCAGTCACTGAACAAGTGAAAATGAAAACTCACGAGAGAAACCCTGAGATCTGTAAGAGCCCCTTGATTACTACTAGGAACCTGTACTAGTCCCGAAACGTCTCTCATTTGTTTTCGCCTAAACTTGTTGAGTGACTGGAACTTTATTATCATGTTTCCTCACCATCTGAACTGTAGTCAAACTCTAACCTACAAGCTGAAAATGTCTTAAATGTACGTCGGTCATGCATGAAGTGAATTTAATGAGTGCATTTTTGGCAGGTTTGTTGAGTTAATCCTTTCAGATGCCACCTGTGAAGAACTGCCTGTAAATGTGTCAAACTGTCACATGATGGCAAGGCTGTCTATATTCTATTGCAACAATAACTTTATAATAGATTGATTTAGGCATTTCATAGCAGTTAATTGAAATTGAGCTTTTATGAAACATCTACTTATTCTAAAGACATTCATATTTGATTCTTGCATATATAGAATGAAATCTCAGACCAGATATATACTGGATATTGGTTTCTTATTTTAACGATATTGAGAAAAGAAAAAAGATATTTCGAAGTGGCTCCAGCGAAGCGCTGCATTGAATGACTCGTCGACTATGGTAGTGCTTCTGGAAAAGTGATTATATGCAACAGTAGTGTGAAAACTGAAGTTAAAGACATGTTTATTAGGGAGGAGGTTGATTATTTCATCTAAACTTCATTGTATCTTGCACTTTTTTAGCCCCTAGTTGACACAACTAGCAAAAACAAGTGATGTACACAATTGTGTACAAAGCGTCTAAAAGGGTTAAACGCACTGCAACGAGATTTGTGCAGGTACCTAGTAAGTGCTCAAGTAACTGGTGTATTTTCCCTTTGATCAAATGGCATTTGCAGGCAAAGCAGACCCCTTTCGTTGCTGACACTGAAATTCTAAATTCATACTGCTTTGCAGGATGGTGTTCCACAAAGTATGGCGTTGCAAAGAGGCAAAGCGGGAAAAATCATGTGGTGAGGCTGCAGCACACTGTCCAGCAAAGATTGACCTCAAAATCAAGAAGGTCAACAGAAATACAAAACGTAATGATGCCTTTTTACGTGGGGAAAAGCCACTGCCAGCTGTGATAAAGCTTTTTCATCACAAAGACCACAGCCACAGCACTGCAGCAGCAGACGCACTTTCTCGTCTCACTCCAACAATGCAGACCAGAGAGACCTTTTTGGCCTACTTCGACAACGGCATGTCACCAGCTGAAGCCATCAGGCTTCACGAGAGCAAACTGCTTGTGCAAAAAGATGGGTATGCTCTCGTTGCTAACTCGGCAGTAAATCCATTGCCTCCTGCCATATATTACTGGCACAGGCTCTGGAGAGAAAAAAACTTTGGAAAAGATGTAGACCCCCTCCTAAAGATAGCTGAGAAGATGCCACTCTATGCTAAACATGGTGAGTTGACTATTACAGCACTTCACTTACACCATACGTTCCATACTTGCTACAGCTGTCTAGTGGTTATGGTGCTTGACTGCCAACCCAAAGGTCGCAGAATTGAATCCTGGCTGGGGCAGTTGCATTTTAATGGAGCCAAGATGCTAGAAACCTGTCTGCTTAGATTTAGGTGTGTTTAAGAACGCCAGGTGGGCAAAATTATGGTTGTCTCCGTATATAGTGTCATAATATCGTGGTTTTGAGACATAAAACATTATTATTATTATTATTATTATTATTATTATTATTATTATTATTATTATTATTATTATTATTATATTTGCATTTTTAAAGGCTATTAAAATCCTAAGCCCTAATTTGCATGCATTTTTTAGAAGACTTTTAGTTACAACAGATCTTGAAACCCATTTTCTAAAATATTGTGTCAGTGCAGCACTTGATTCACAGATTTTGGACACTGCTAAAGCACTAAGAGAGCTGTAGAGGTACCACACATAGCGTTTTCAGTCACAAAAGATAATACATCCAATCTTCTAACAGTTCAGTAAAGTTTACAATATTAACATGAGACATTCATGTATTATTGTGGCCGATGTTTCAAAGGCAATCCATACAAGTTCCCAGAATGAAAAGTCATACATCACGCAGTTGCATATAGTAGAAGCACAATTATTGCCACTACTCACAAGCTATAGATGACACCCAATGCTAGCAAAAAAGTTCAGCATAGAGTAATGACGAACAGAGCTACTTTCTTTCATAAAGGGTCATAATGTCATCACCAGGGTGCTGTAACAATGTGTAGCCGATGCAGGATCACATGCCATAATTTTGCTTGTAACGAAATTGAGAAGCACATAAAATCAGTGCACAGAGATCTCTTTATGAAAAAACTATCATTCAGTCCCACAGTGAAAACGGTTTGAATACTCCAACATGCCTCTATATCAATTGCATACTAGGTGTCACTTAGTAAATATGCTTGCCTGTTTATGAAAGTTTCAAGTGACGAATAGATGAAAAAAGTGGAACAAGTTCTGACTATTTATTTTGCTCTATAATATTCACTTCCAGCTTAAATTACTAATTTGTAAATTGCTAAGAACACTGGATAATAAATTTGTGGCAAAACAGAAAATGAGTACCACATCCCAGAGTTTCATTTTCACAAAACAACTGAGTACCATACAAGCTTTTCCAACTATCTCTTGGGCTGACTGCACCTCAGGTTAGAGAGTTGCAGGTGGTGCTCCTCTGACTATTACTCATCAATGCTGTACAGTTAGCATTTGGAACTATATGTGGGTTATTAATGGCTTGTCACCAAACATTTGGGTCAACAACAGTTCAATGGTCACAGCACGCTACAGCTGCACCCTGGAGTGCTTAATTCCAGCATTTACATGGTGTGGATGAGATTCTAGCTCGCATCGGCATACAACTTTTCAAAATGATACCATAAAAGCTGTCGTCAAATAAGTGAATGTGGAGCCCCTGCAGCCCAATGTAACACACAATTTTTCATTGAAATAAATACAAAGGTCATACAAATCAATATTTTCATAACTAGTTATTTATTCAGCCGATTCAAGTCTTCAAAAAATATGTCTTCCTGTATTCTCCCGCACTCAACCTTTTTTCAGATGCTTGCTTGAATACCAATGTAAAAAGAATTCTTTACATTGACTGTGCTTCAGTCATGTACCAGTTGCTGTACCTCTTCATGCGGTCATTACTTCTTTCTGCCCAATTTTTCGTCAGAAGCATTGAGGCAACATGCACAGGTCTAACGCCCATGAAGCAAATGACCTGCTATTCACCCATAAGTCATTAGTATCTGTAATTGTTGTGCAGGCAACCTTAGAGTGAGGACCATCTTCTGCAAAATTACTCTGCAGACAGCATTCTCAACTACCTAGTCTTGATAAGAGGTATTCAATGAGCTCTTCCTGCCAGGCAGCACCAGTGCGTGCGCTGCCATAGCCCTGGTCTGTCGGTGATCTGGGTTATGACAGCGTGTTATTTGGTGGCGGTGCACATCACTAACCTATTTTTTTATGAAAATATTAGCAAAACACACACTGCCGAGAACTTTGGTTGTGGAATGATGATGTTTATGCGCGAAAGCACAAATATGCCGAATTCCATGCTAGGGCCTCTTGCATATGACGTCATGTGATTACCTCCATTATGTAAGAATAAGACAGTGTTTTAGTAGATAAAGAGTACTATAGTTGAAACCTTTTATAAGAGACACTGATATAAGAGACAAATGGGTATAAGAAACACCAGTGTGCTTAGAGTAAAATACGGATTGACAGGAAAAATGCATATGTGGTAATCTGTATTAAGAGACAAGAATTGCTGCCCGGAGAATGCCACTTATAAAGGGGTTTAGCTGTACTAGGCATGGTATCTGGAGAAAAAGTCAGTATTCTGTAACCACATTTGTATCTTAGCAAAAGGCGGAATCTGATACTTTTGCAGATGGTTACTCACAAGACTGATCCATTCAGTCATTTGACTACTGCATCTCACTTTCCTTGTTTTTTTTAACACTTGGTGGTTGGACCATGCTTACACCCCAAAGCCTTAAAAACAATTGTTCTGGAAGTTGCCCGCTAGCATTTCACAGTGTGCGATTCCCTGATACAGCTCTTTTATAAGCCACTGTGGTAGCCATTTCGATTACACTACGAAGCTGCGGCACACCGTAAAAAGTGCGATTGCATCATTCACAGGTTACATCCACAGATACTTAGTGACTTGCCTGCTCTGACTGCAGCAATAGTACCTTGCTGTTAAAATTTGATGCTTTCGACCCAGGAAAGGATGTGGCAGGCTGGCATTTTACCATAGAGCACCAGTGCTAGAATAAAAATTTTTTTGTAGAATGACCATATAGAGGCGTCATGTTGAGCAGTGAAGTGCATTTACAGGAGTGAAATAGCATGGTGAAAGAGTAGAATAACAATCATGAGTCACGCTACGCGAACTGCCTAAGTTTTCCCAGCTATCACGATGTTGCTTGGTGGTGATTGTTCAGCATCATTTGCATTAGCACAAACAAATAGCACATAATGCTTCAAAGATATGTAGTGGGCACCTCACTTTTTTGTAAAATATTGAATAACTGCACAGTGGGTGCTTTCCTAATTGGCAAAAATTATAATGATCTATGGCGTAATAAGTACCCTGTAAGTTCACTGGTAGTTACACCAAGAGAGGTTAGAACGGGGTCTAGAAAGGCTGCTTTTCCAGCTTTTACTGTGACTGAGCTACATGTGTTGTGAATGCCTGGTTCCTATTTATATATTTTTTTAGAAGAATGATAGTATGGATGCTGCAAGCTTAAAAACAGTCATAAAATTTTCTCGACTTTTCACAAAAGTTATGTCACACACATTTATGCCTCACAAGAGGCAGCTTATTACAGATTTCAGTTAGAGTTACCGAACATAATAGCTGGTCCTCACAGGCAATACAATTGTCGACTGTCACTAATGTAGCCTGTGGCTTCATGATTACACATGATGAGTTTAGTACTTTGGATCTATAAATTTACGTCACAGAAAGTTTGATTTATGGCCTTGCTTTGTTCAGCACTAACAAACTGAAATCACTACTCTTTTCTTGTGCACATAAATATGATAACATATAGCTTTGGGTTCAGTTCCTGTCGACACACAGATCCATGCTCTAATACATGTTTTTACTTCTGTGTACAGAATATGTTGCAGTGTTGTTTCTTTTTCTTCAAATTTGGTCCCTTTCAAAAACATTTTTGCATTTCTTTACTCGTTGCAGGCGTTGATGTCAAACTGGGCCGCTCAGAGGATGGCCAGTACTGGGTGGTCTTGGTTGCGACACCGATCATGAGACGAGCACAGCTGTTAAATGCAGCAACAGAAATTATTTTTATTGATTCGACATCATCGTGCGACGCATCACGAAGCACCGTGACTGTTCTTCTGGCAGCCACGAATGCGGGTGCCGTACCCATCGCGGTACTAATTCATAATTCGCAGTCAGCCCAAGGCTATTGCACGGCCTTTACGCTTCTGAAGGACACCTTCCCAACCTGCTTTGGGGGGCTCAGTGTGAGTTACTTAGCCGATAAAAACTCACAAGTTTGGTATCTTGTCAGCGTTCAAATTCGTGCAGGCTTTGGTGTAAAAGAACAGCAACCATGTGTACCTTAGTAGTTTATGACTAGAGGCCAGATCTTTACGCACTGCAGAAGAGTGTTTTTTGTGCTAAATATAAACAGGCAAAACAATTTTTATATATCACAAATAGGCTGGCAAAACATTTTTTACTCCCTCATGTCGTAAATGCATGCCAGGACATCCCAACCTGTATCTAGGACAGGAAATCAAAAAATGTCGCACTATGTCAGCGCACTTGTTTGAGGTAGCCAGCACATCCCATTTCACCCCTGCTAGTGGCAGTTTTCTAATAACTTGGTTTACCTAGAAGATTAGCTTAAACACCATGGAGTTCCGAACAGTCAATGTTGCTTGGACATGAATAACAGTCTGAAAATGCACTCTAAAGAGAAATTCAGGGTTAAATAGTGGAAATATAGGTGCCAATTGTGAATATAAGCATTGATAGCCACTTATCGGTAGTCAGTCACAAATGCCGAAAATTGGCACTTATACACCTTGTCAATGAAGGTTTTCTGGGTGCGGCATAAGACCCTGTAGGCTGTTGTTAACATGCGTGACCCCTAAAAATTGCAGGACTGAAGCTGTGACGTTGGGTTTAGTGCTCCATTGCAAACAGGCAGTATAAAAGCACTTATTCTAATTCATGTTCATATATCAAAAGTGGTGTGATAGGAACACAGGGAACAAAAAAGGAATTAGCCTGAAATCCGCTCTCTACTTAAGCCCTCTAGTGCAAGGATAATTTCAAAGCATTGTGTTTTTGCTATAAGCTTTTATGATGTGTTTTTCACATTCGACAATACATATTTTTAATAAGTATTGCGCACTTACTTTTCGGTACTTAAGGAGTGATTCGAAGTAAGTCTCTACATTATGCTGTGTTGTGTTTCGAGCTCACTAGAATATACAGCATAATCTTTCCTTCATTACATATTCGACAAAGTTTTACTTGTGTGTAGCTTTGCATTATGGGCCTATCGGCCACAAGAAACATACCAGACAACAGCACACAAAATTTAAACAAATAAAGGGAGTAAAATAAGGTGACGCAAAAGAAGCCAACAGGAAAGGCTCGTCCTGTCTCGAATAGCCCGCACTTCATTTAAAAATTATGTTTCGCCACCTAGCCCAAAAAGTACTTTTGAGAAAAGAAAATGTGTTAGATAATATTCACAAAATTTCTTGGGCAATTTTCACCAAATGATGGCCTCATGTGAGAGCCTATTGCAATTACTTAGTCGGCTGTTCTAAATGATTTCTTGGTTACTTGCAGTGTCCTGAAGCCTTCATGACAGATAACTCGGCAGCAGAAAAGGGAGCCCTGAAAGCAGTTTGGCCACAAGGAAAGCAGCTGCTTTGCTTTTTTCATGTTGCACAAGCTGAATGGAGGTGGTTGACGGCAGTTCGAAATAACATAAGTGGAGAGCAGAGGAGGCATTTTATGTCAGCATTTCAGAAGGTTGGTATCTATGTTCAGTTTTGTTTATACACAACATCCTTGCAAACATATGTTCTCTGCCAACAACTATACTCACACATGATTACATAGAGTTTCATACAATACCGTATTTACTTGCATAATCCTGGCACTTTTTTTGCCGGAAAACCGATGCAAAATTGGGAGGTGTGAGAATTATGCGGGGAAAACTTTCCACGAAAGCGTACAGGGCGAAAAAGAAAACGAAGTGGCCGCAAATCGAGATCCTCACACCAGCAACTAACAGCAAGCTTTGAGAAATACTAATAAAAACTTACCTCAACCTAAAAGCAGAGGTTCAACACAAGGCAATATTTATTTGAGACACAAAAAGTGCAAACATATAGTCGAGAATTAGAATACCATACGCAAAGCTTGTGGACGTTGCGGGCGTAGCAGTAGCGTTTGTCACTCAACAGGAGCCCTCAAAAGGTAAACGTAGGACGTCAGTATTGAGCTGATGGCTATTAACAGAATGGTCTGCAGTTTCCTTCTGAAGAAATAAAGTTTAGCATCAATCCCAGTTTTAGGCACACGGCAGCCCCATCGCATCTTGGTGGCTTTTAGCTGCCGTTACCAGTAGCGAATACAAGACTCGTAGACTCCTAAGGGCCCATTGTCGGCTCTGTTGCCGTTGTTTAGCGCATGATCTACCACTTTCAAAGTGAAAGCAGCCATGTAGCTTCAGTATTGCCCCATAACGTGACAAGATTACCAACACAACAAACAAAACACGCCGCAACGCGTACTTGCCACTATAGCTTGGCTTGGATTGGATTTCTGTGCAATAATAGTAAGCTTGACGCTTAAGAGATGGCGCACGCTATCACCATCAGTGGTTGGAACGAGCAGACGATATTATTGCGGCAGTTTTCGGGGGTGCGATAATTACTAGAGGAAAAAAGGAACCATATTTTTTTTGTTGGGCGATATGGGAGGTGCAAGAATTATGCGAGTGTGAGGATTACGCGAATAAATACGGTTATACCTAGAGAAGAACCTGGCGCTGCGATTGTGTACCCTTATGGGAATTGTAAGAAGTGCAGGCTTCGGATTGGATTGCGTAGCCAGAGAGCTGTCTGCGAATATTTTTCTACAGTTTCAGTTTCGCTCTTCGCGTAGAGTGGTTAGTGGGGTGGGTGCAAAAGACTGAAGCTGTGCCTTTGTTGTTCAATGAAGCTGAAAACTGCAAGGCCTCTCAATCTACTGCAACACTAGAGCTGCATTAGATGTGTTCGACAGTTCAAACGAAGCGTCTTTCCACTCATCGCTGCGCATAGATGTACCAGTACAGGATAATACATCGAGTTCACGTTTGTTATGAGTGCGTCTTGCCGAAATTCATTGAAATTGACTAAAAAACGATGGCGACCCGAAGTAGACGCACCGTCACGCTCTTTCGACTTGACTTCACAACAAAACGAGAGGTGTGTTGGGGGCAGACCACTTGAACAGACACACCTGGCATCGCAGCAGACGAAACGTTAAGTGTTTCTCACTTAGTACTGTGCTGTTATTTCTATAAATAGATACTGCATGCTTTCGAGGGCAAAGGAAGATTGTTTTGAAATTTCGTAAAGCATAATTCATGAAATCTTGATGCCAAATCTGGAACACAATGGCAAAGCAATGCATACCCTGGTGGTTAAATCTGTCCAGGTTTCACTTCTATCGCCTGGTCACTAAAACCTTTTGAGTTTGAGTACAAAAAAATGAAGCAAGCTTAAATTAAATATAAGTTCATACCGCTTTGTTTTACACTCGGAAAAGAAGCGTCGCGAATCTCAAGAACGTGATCCATCCGAAGCCTGTACTACCCATATTTCCCACGGGGGTACAAGCGCCGCTAAAGGAGCCAATGTAGATACTAGCGCCATATTACCCTCTAGGTATTATTGTATGAAACTCAATGCATGACTAGGACAGGTTTCATACAGAAACATTGATAAATGAGGGTTTGCTAAATGCATTTTTTGGTGTTTGGCAGCAATAGCCCCCGTTTAATGTGTATGTATGCTCGCTGATGCTTGGTACATCTCCATCCCGATGACTAAAATTCATGATAAATTTATTAAACTATTGTGGTATTTCTAGATGTTAACCATGAAAACATAATCAGAAAAAAAGGCGTGATAGTAAAATGAGGATGCAGAAATAGAGCTAAGGGCGCCATTCCTCGGCCTGTTAAAGTGTGATTGATTGAACTTCATGGTATCTAAGAAAGTGTGTCGTGTTACCTCTGTGCTCTGTGTGTGAGCGCCTCGATGAAGTTCTCTGTTTATTTTCATATTGATTGATATGTGCGGTTTGACATCCCAAAACCACCATATGATTATGAGAAACGTCGTAGTGGAGGGCTCCGGAAATTTCGACCACCTGGGGTTCTTTAACGTGCACCCAAATCTGCCCACACGTGCCTACAACATTTCCGTCTCCACCGTAAATGCAGCCGCCGCAGCCGGGATTCAATCCCGCGACCTGCGGGGCGGCAGCCGAGTACCTTAGCCACTAGACCACCGCGGCGGGGCTGTTTATTTTTACACACACACACAAACACACACACATATATATACATATACATATATATATATATATATATATGTGATATATGGCACAATGGGAGCATTGTCAACAAGGATAAATATATTCATTTCCCAACATTTTCGGGCGGAGTCCTCCCTTCGTCAGGGGATGAGTTATAATAACATAGACGCTCAAACTTCGTTGCTGCCGCGTCCCTCTCACCTTGAAATATGTTTGCGAGAGTGAGAGAGAACTAAAGAAACAAAACACCGTGAATGATGAACCTGTGCACATCCAAATGTCGGTGTAAGTCGACATCTGGTTTTCACCCTGTGCTGGCCAGTTCTCGACATGTGTCGGGCCACTCAAGATTGTTGCCGCGATAGCGGAAGGGGCGCGTGTAAGGAAAGAGTTTCCCCTTAATGGGACGACCGGCTTTTTACCTTTCATCTTTGCCCGTTTCCCTTCAATGGCCGTCAAGTGGTAGGTGAGCGTAAACACTTTGTATGTACACTTGAGGAAACAGTAATATAGGAAAAGAAAGAAAAAAAAAAACAAGAAAGGACAGGGTACACGTATGTGTCAGTATACATAGGCTGACGAGTGAGGTGGGTTTGCCCGCCCACTCGTGAAAGAGTTGGTAAGCCGCCGCGTGCGACAGACAATGATACAAAATGTACATAAAAAAAAACACTATTGAAAATTGGCGCTTGTACCTCCAATGTCTCTTTTTCTGTAGCTAGAATTATATGCAAAAAAGTTCATAGTAATGGATTACCGACTTACCTGAACCAACATTTCACCTCTCTTTTAAATCTATGGAGCTAGGCTGTAGGAATTGGCTGTCACGCCCAAGTTTACTATTCTGTAGTAACTAGGGTTTAGCCTTGCCATTCACAAATATCTGCCTGCCTTTCTGCAACTAACC